ACTGTGGCCTCTAATGTACTGGGGAAAACCACATTTTAATATAACAGGCATGGGTACTTCTTCTGAAGACATGCTTTTCTAGAATGAGAGCAAGGATCCTAATATCTGCAAGGCTTGAAGTCACAGAATCATTTTATTACTTTATAATTTACAGTATTAATTATTCTGTTTGGACATAAATTCGCCCAAGTGCAATTTACAAGATCTGCCCCTGTGTCTAATTAGTAAAGGCTTTTCAGCACAAATGAATGATTAAGCAAACATTACAAATTAAGAAACTAAACATAAAAGATCAGATGAGGGTTGAAGCAGTTGCTTCCGTTTATTATGGTTAGTGTGCCTGGGAATCCAGACGTTTCCTATTCTTATACAATTCTTACTGTATGTTTGCCTTGATTTCCCAGTTTGTCCAGTACCACAATTTGCCAAGGACTCATTGTACATTATTGCATGCTACTTTGGTTGTACATTGGCACCATTGTCAAATATAGAATAAAACCAGTCACTCACTTAAAAAACAAACTTGGTCCAAAGTTAAATCTCTGCAAGCTAAATACCACCGTACTGAACTTCCTCCACATCAAAATGGAGATCAGACTTCTCTGGTGTGCACGATCTGTCACTATAGTAGATGGGCCTCAAAACTGCAGATCAGTGGGTTGGTTTCCCCAAAAGCTGAAGATGATAAGGTGATTATAGTAATACCAAGGTCAGGGCACCAAAGAGATTGTCAGGGATTACCATTTCTTTTTTTCTATTTAAATGCACAGCAAATCTGGTCATCATGAAGAGAAAATACACATACCCACAATAACAGATAATGGAAGTGAAAATGTTTCCTGTTTGAGCACTTCAGTGTTTACATTGAATATGGTCGCAGTCCAGCGGAAACTGAATCCAGAACAATGTATAATTAGGGTTGATGCCCATTCTAAAATTGCATTTGAGGAGGACTGTATCAGTCAATCCCCATGCATATGGAATGAAAAACGAGTAAGCAGATGGGAATGTTTAGTGAATCATGTGGGGCTAGTTATTATTCAAGAAGACCTTCTTCAGCTCCCCTTGTGGGGCTCACAGGGATAGGAGGTGTATAACTAAAATGCTTGTTAAAAGCAATCTTTTAAAAAAACTCAGAATGAAACCAGTGAATCTGTAGCTGCCAAGATAGTGCAGCAGAACATCAACAACAAAAGTGCAACTGAAGAACTTGAGGTGCAGAGGTTTTGTCACCTAGGATATTTAATACCAAAGGTTATTAACCATGATTGAAATGATCAGCCAAGACATCTGTCACGATCGTTACTCCTCCTCTTAAGGGCGCTCCAGCCCTTCCTCGTTCTGTCCCATTCCCCACACCTGTTCCTTATTCCAGCCCCTCTTTAGTTCCACCTTTAAAGCCAGACGCAGGCGATTGCTCGGGGCTTCTCAATGATTTCCGTGTCGTGAGAGCCCGGGGTCTTGCCGCGTCTGGCTCCGTTATGGTTTTAGTTTCCTGTTCCTGATTCCCTGCCCCACCGGTCCCGACCCGGTTCTGGTTTTAACTACGTATGGATCCCCTGGTCCTGGACTAAACCTCCCGTCTTGGATTCCCCCTCTGGATTTACCCTTGGATTGTTCGTCCTGGATTCACTCCCCCCCGGACACTAGCACTGCATGGACACACCCCCCTGTCTCCTGACCGACTCCTGCATGATATTTTTCCCTATTGTTTCTTCACCTTTTGGATTGTGTCGTCCGCATAGGGCCCGGAAAGAACTGTTCCTGACAACATCATCATGTACATGTATGTGCCATTTCTCTAGCCTGAAACATGAGTTATGGTCTCTTACTGTGGCCATTTATTTTTGCCAACAGACAAAAAATGTTGGAGATACAGTTAATTGCCACGTCCTTCAAAGACAGTTTTTTCTTTTGATTTCACTTTCTATTTGTTTTCTTTCATCTCAGCATCGATTTATATGTTAAATCAAGTTTCTGTTTGTTTTGAATAATAATGAGGGGGGGGGCTAATATATTCAAAAAATCATCCTTAGAAAGCACTTCTGAAATGTAAAATGAAATTATCTTGATCTAGGTTGGCTATAAATCACATGCAGTGGATATCACAAACCTGAATACAGATACATTCTGGGCAATGGGCAGATATACCACTCTTGATAAGGCAGGAAATACCCAAGAGTTGAAATCCGCACATCTGATATGGACCAGCTAAAATAGCCAATCAAACCTACCCTGCATGTTTTTGGAGGTTGGGGGGAAACATATGGACAAAGAGAAAAACAATGCAAACACGAGGAGAATCCAGTAATTCTACACAGAGCGCACCAGCCCCTCTGCTGCAATTCCCCTGCTGAATCGAGATCATTGAAGGGCACAGAATGTTTTCAACCCATAATGCAGATCAGAAATCTAAATCACTGCTTTTTATTAATGCTCAATTCTCGAAGGAATCTGTCATGTCAGTGTTTCAGTATTATTTAGTACAGGTATGAGATACCAAGACACAGAGGCTTGTGACACAAAGAGACATGCTCCAGGGCTCATAAATCTCTTCATTCTGAATTCAGGAAAGGCAAGTAAGATGGAGCTTTACAGTGCCAACCATCTGCTTAATGGCAGAGGTAAACACTTGAGACAATATGTTTCAACCTGTTGCCTTCAGTGAAATCCACCTGGGGATTGTGACAAAAAAAAACTCCTGGTATCATTTCTCAAATTGCCTTTACTATTGAGATATACAGGAATGACCAGACTATTCAGCCACTAAATTTTTCAGACATTTTGTCATCATTGATATTGACAACAAAGTATGTTGTTCATAAATAGCACCTTTAGGTTCAGCTGTATTTGCTCTTTCAAATACAATTGTCACCTTATTTTTAGTATTGATCTATCTGTATTTACAGATATTTGTGTTTTATAGAAAGTACTGTACTCGATGCAGATCTTACTCTATACAGTAGGTAATTTACTTTTACGGTACCCAAATACCATTTGATTAAAGAAAAAATAAAATAATGCCATTCTGAAATATTAAATTATATTTCTTATATAATTCTTGCTTTAGAGCATTTGAAATGCAGCATTTTTATTATCACATGTCAAAATTATTTTTTCTTTTTTAAGATGCTGAACAAAAATCTTTCAGTTAAATTGCTATGCAAACAGAAAATGCAACCTGTCATGCTTGGTCCTGCACAATTATTTTGAAATGTGCTTTTAAAATGCTTAAAATTAAAGACAAAGCGATTATTTGTACTCTTTCCTTGTCTTTCTAATATTAATTTAGTTTTGCATTTGCAAGGCAGACAAAGGAATTTCCCTATGGTATATTTTGTTCCAGACTTCCAAAGTGTCTTGGTCTAAATTCCATGAAAAACATTAGAAATTCACAGCAAATATTACCGATCCCTTTGGTCCAAATTTAAGACCGAATGCTGTTTATTGCTATCACCTTAGGAGTAATGTGTGAATGTGTTGTGAGAAGAGGCAGATTCAATCACAGTTGTAATCCAATCATGGCTGTCCATCAGAGATTGTAGTAGAGCCAAAGGCCAAGCGCACAACAAAACATATCCTCTGAGGTTTGCTTGGGAGGTTTCATTCACTGAGAGTCACAATATTTGTAAGTTAATCATGGTTATTAGTGTATATTTGACACAGAAGGGAGCATGTCTGTCGAGGGACACTGTGAAATGTGCATGTATTGAAGAAAAGTGACATGTCCTTTCATCACTCCCTCACACTTTACCATTAGTTGCATCACGTTGTCTGCCTGCTGGACAAACACTGAAAAATGTAACAGCTTGCAATATAGGTATTCTCAGTTAGATACCCAGCTCCTCAGTGTGTGCTACTGATAAGGGCTATTGTTATTAATTATAATAACAAAAAATAAACATTTATTTAATCAAACCAGATTTTTTCTCTTGAAAGCAAATTCTTATTTATAAATTGTACAACAGAGTATTTTACTAGTGAAATATGGTAATCTAGTAATGTGCTTTAAGTATGTTAAAGGGATAGTAGTGTTCCTCCCAGGAATGGGTCTCATCCATGCAGGGGTAAGTCCAGAGCCACTACTCCATGCTGTTTAAGCAAAGGAACTTTACATTACATAAGAAAGACTGCAATTGAGATTAAGCCCATCTGGTTCATCTGCAAGTTAGTGGAGTATTGAGCTCAGAATTTAGTCCAGTCATTTCTTCAGTTGTTTCAGTGACAGGAGTGGGTGTTCTGTGACACAAACAGAGAATACATTGAATTAAGAGCAACCTCCTATTTCTGGTACTTAACATACCAGGACTTAATTTCCATCTGCATCTTGCAGGTGCTTCTTTCATTGATTGATCTTTCATTGGCAAAACCTTTCACTCTACACTGTCACTGCGGACGTGTTAGGAGGAAGTAGTTGAAGTACTGTAGGTAGCTGTGTCAGCATGCGTAGGCTGAAAAAGGAACAAGGAAAGGTTGATTCCATGCTGAAAAGAGAAGAAAAGATACGTTGCGGCTGTGGAGCCTTCTTCGGGTGTTAGGATGATGCATACAGTACAGTATGTGTTATTTAGTCCTGTAAAGTCAGTATTTTTTGCCTGTTTCTGTTCAGGTTTGTGTGGCATGGAGTTCCTGTAGTTAGCATTGCTGTCTCACAGCATTAGGATTCTGGGTTAAACTCTAGACCTGGGGGGCTCCCAGTGTTCTTGTCGTTTACCTCTGGGTGCTCTGCTTTCCTCCCACATTCCAAACACATATGGGTAGGTTAATTGGCTCCTTGGAAAATTGACCTAAGGTATGAGTGAGTGTGTCTATGTCTGCTCTGTGATGAACTGGTGTCTCTTCCAGGTTTTATCCTGCCTTGAGCCCATTGCTTGCTGGGATTGGTTCTGGCTCCTCCTAAAACTGAGTCAGAAGAAGCAGTCAAAAAATGGATTAATAGATATCCAGGATTTTGTATCCTTGAATCTGTATCTGATTTCACCTCTCCATTTCTCTTGCAGGCAGTAGGCGGCTGAGATGGGCATGCCTCTAGGCTGGTTGAGCGCCTCCCTCTGGCTGCTGCTCTGGGGTGCCCGCAGCAGCCTCGGGCGCCCGTTCGGACCTCCCACAGTAAACGTGGCGGTGGTGTTCAGCGGCTCCACCTACCAGACAGAGATTAAGGGGCGCCTGAGCCGCGAGAACTTTGCGGACCTGCCTATCGAGGTGAACCCCATTACCGTGCTGGTCAATGACACCAACCCCCGCGCCCTGCTCACTCGCATTTGTGACACGCTGGACACTAACCGCGTCCACGGCGTGGTCTTCGAGGACAACGTCGGCTCAGAGGCAGTGGCCCAGATCCTGGACTTCATCTCTACCCAGACCTCAATGCCTATTATCGGGGTCAGTGGGGGGTCTGCTGTGGTCATTCCACACAAGGTGAGGATGTGGCTGGTGTGATGGAATTGGTGAGGGAAGGAGCCAGAGGGGCTCGCGACTTAAAAGCTTTATTTGGTCATATTTTAGCAGAGCTGGTATAAAACATGTTCCTGCATTAGGAGTTCTTTGAAAAAAAGCTTCAGGGAAAAGTTCAGCAATACAGTATATTTCCTGTGGGATGTGTGTATTTTCATTTATACAAGGAAGGTTAGCCAGAACAGACAGCAGAGTTGCCTTGTGGTTAACATTTTCCAGAAAAATCTGTTCATCTGTGCATTGAGTGATAGGTAATGGGGACAAACAGAATGAGCACATTTATAGTGGAACATTAAGGAACTAGCTTCTGCAAGTTACTGTATCTAGGCTACAGAGTAGCAGAATGTTAAATTTGCTTGTTAGTCAAAGTTCAGAATTGCACTGTAAAAAGCAATTCCAGATTGAGTGCAATAGTAAAGCAAATTATGTGAGCAACAGATTGGACAGAAAGGCCCTAATTTAAATTAAAACATTCAGCTGTAATCTCTGAGAGCAATATACTGTACCTATGAGAAGAGCAGGAATGTAACTCCTTCTGTTTGTTTTCCAGAATGTACAGTATCTAATGTATCTAAATACAAGCAAGAGAAATGAATATAACCCATCATGCTTTGCAGTCCATTAATGATAAAAATGAAGGTTATGGCCTTGAAAATGAGAAATAATAATTAGATTGCTGACCTCAGGAAATATTGGAAAAATCCTGAATTTTACTGTTAATCAATACCACTAGTTATCTAATAGAAACCGTCGTTTGTTAAAAGGGCCAACTTAGAGTTTTGAGAAGTGGAAAATATGAAGCCTGTCACTTTCCATTCTTATCAGATCGTTGGTATGTGTGGTGAACATTAAAATATAATTTCCCACACCTGAAACTTGAAGAATAATTGTACACCAGGATGAACAGCCCTGGCACTATCTGATGCACAGCAAAACGCACAGCAGTAAAAATAGATCAAAAAAGAAACTGATGAAGCACTGTCATGATCACCACTGAATTTTAATATATTCTAATCCCTCTCACTGCTCCAGCTGGGGCTTTAACTTTTCGTGATGCAAAATGAAAAGGAGAAAAGAATCTTACTGGAGTGTTTGGACCTCCTATAAGTGACAGGGCGGAGAGAAAAAAAGAGAAGGATTTTTGAATAATTCAAAGTTAAACACCTGGTGTCTTTCTGAAGACAAGATCAAAAAAGTTAAGTAAGAATACATCTGATTTCAAAGTTCTAAGCCCTGTCTTTTTTCTGGGGGTGTGTACTGTATGTGAGGGAATCGTGTTTGTGCTGTAAATTTGTATTGGTTCCATTCAGTGACCCCGCTGTTTGTAAAGCGGTTGCACTAGGATTGCTATCTAGTTGGGAAAAGGAGTGGAATGAGTTAACAATTTGAAGCAGGGCTCTGCATCTCAGATTATGGAGCACTGAAGTTTTGCAGTTTTTACAGGCAGTAGTGAATAGCAAATACAGTAGGTAGGATCTGAAAATCACATTTGACCTTAATTAAGCCATACTAAGTGAGATTGATCCAACTAAATCATTTACACACTAGCTGGATTAAAAACAGTTGCTAGAGCCTAAAGACTGGAGTTGCAGGCCCCTGTTCCAATGAAAGATGAAATCAGTAAATACTAGTGCCATTATGTGACTGCCATTATGAAAACTCACTGGAATGCAGAGTACTATAAAATTTTAACTTCATCTTTTGTTATAGAACTTCAACTACAAGTAAAATTCAACAACAAACTAAGAGAAGTCTTCATTGAGTCTCAGAGTGATCGTAAAGCTGTAATTGGGGTATGGTGTGTATTGTGGCAGGTGGTGACTGAAGTTGAGTGTGGGAAAGATCTGTCTGTCAGTGCGAAATGAAAGGACACAAGTTTCAATATTTAAAAAAAGTTATCAATATGCCACATATTACTGAACGTCCTTTAAATACCTGCGTTTTCTAAGACTATTTTGTTGTAATAGGTAAATACAGTAGGTAGGCGAAGACTGTACATACAGTATTTATTCCAGACATTTAAAGATGGTGAAAAAAACATGACACCATTTTTCAAAATGTGCTGAATATGGTGATGGTTATAATACATTTATTTTGGTGATTTAAATTCAATGTTAAACCTTAAATGTACCACTAGTCGAGGTCAATCCCTCAGTCTTTTATTAAGATCTGACTTGTACTTCAAGAGCTACCAAGCTGATTTATACATATGAAGATTTCTTGTAATCTGATGATTATCTACAAAGAGTTCTCTATCGATTGGACAGGCTTGCCATGCTCAGATTGGACCCTACGCTGTGATTAAACATAGATTACACTTGTATAATCTGAGTTGTATATTTGTACAAATAAAATATGCACTATGATTAGATTGCTTTACCAGATGAGACATTATTGGAAATGGATACTATGACAAATTTCAGGAAACTGAAGTATAGATACGTATTACTGAAGAGATGTCTTGCCAAGAGTCATTTAAGTGTCTGCAATTCCTAAAATTACTTTGCTGTGATGAAAGGATCTTCCAGACATCATCAAAGACAAAAATGAAGTGATGTATTTATTCATTACTAGTTATGAAGAAGACTAAAGTTATATGCTGAGTCCTGGAATCAAACAGAATGAAGTTGTCTAGCATAACCTAAAGAGGCTGACTGGCATGAGGTCATAAAAGTGTAAGTACTGTAATAGGTCATAATAGTGTCACTATTGTGACATCATTTTCTGGATTCCCAAAAGTGCGGGGACACTTGCCTTGCCTGCTGATTGTTTGGGCCATCCGAGGTGATAAAAAGGAAATTAATCAAATCCATTGCTGTCTGCACAGACTACTCATAAGCATGCAGAAATAGTTAATGAGCAGCTATTAATTGACAAAATAGATACGTTTTTTTTAATACTCTTAAAAACAACAGTGCAGGAGGAGGCAATTCAGCCAGCTCCCATGAGCTTTACAATTTTGTGCACCTAAGAAAAACTGAATCAATCCAAGTAGTCTAAAGCTGTTTATTAGGAAGACGTATTGCACAGTTCTTGCACTTAATTCAACAAAAGCTATTTCAACTCCCCTTCCCGATACTGAGCAGGCAAACAGTAAATTAGAAAAAAAAAATCAGTGACCTCCAAAATGTTGGACACCGTAAGTGAAAGTCAATTCTTATCAGCGTCGGTTAAAGCAGATGACCACAAAATAAATGGAACTACAGCATAGAAACAATATGGTTTGGCTTCACACAGTGTAGAAAACCGACTGTGGATGAAGTACTTGATGACCTTCAGCTCAGGAATGGATCTTCGTTCTAATAATCAACCTGCTGGTGCATCGGGCAGTTGATGCATTCCTTTAGCAAATGGAAGGGTGAGCTACTGTATGAGCATGCAGCTGTGTGGGCAGCGATCTTGCTGTTGGAGCAGCAGCGCTGAGCTGTGGGAATCTGGTGTGAACCCTGTGAAGACTTGGGCAGCAGCCCATCTGCCGCTCAATAAGATTGAGGTTAGAACATCATCCTAGAGCAATTGACATGACTCACCGGAGAATAAAATTTAAAAAAAGAAGAAAATTACCATGGGCTCTTCACTACAGCTGTTGGACCGTACTGAAATAGACAATGAAGTCCTGACAGAAAATTAGCACACTCCAATACTGTATATCAGCCTTGTCCTGTTTTCCCACACTTATGAACCTAGTTTATTTACTGTACATACAGTGTACTGTATATCTTAATGAACACAATGACAGGCTAGACCAAGTTACAGGATGCTATTCCACTTATGTCTTTTCAGCTTGCTGTTGTGAAACCCAAATGCACATAGGGAGAGCGTACAAACTACTTGCAGATAGCACCCCAGGAATTGAACCCAGGTCCCTGGTGCTGCAAGGCAGCAATGTTAACCGCTGCACTACTGTGGTGACCTGCAAATGTTTAGTTCTGTTTTATTCTTTGTATAGTGCCCTTCACAACACATTGTCTCATTGTGCTTTCATGGTTATTTATACAGACTATACAAAAAAGGTTATAAAATACAATAGGTCAGAGGGAAATTAGCATAAGTGGATGTAAAGTGAATCATGGAGTAACAGTGTCACCATTTGGCATGAAGGGGAGAAAAACAAAAATCTCTGTAAGGATAAGGATAAAAATGATCCTGGAAAGATTCAATGCCTGAAGGTTTGGCAGTAGCTAATTGTAGTAATGATTAATAATTTACGGTATATACTGTACATAAGCATATACTGTAAATATTAATAACCTGTATATACTAGAATGAAATTGGATCATTCACTAAACTGTTTAAAGGGCCTCTATTGAATTAACCAAATAAACATTCCATTATGATTAAATTTGTGATGTTGGCTTTGTCTGGTATGGTTGGTTATCATTTAGATTAAATGTCTTAACTAAATGTATCTTTACAGAATAATGGTACCATGGTGAGCTAGCCCTTATTTAATCTCTTTTGGTTTGGATGACTGGATGACTTCAGGTCTCCATTCTGTTTTGGAGTAATGTAAATGATAGTAATGGAGTAGAGCTGCTCTACGTCAAAGATAATAAAATATTTCATTTCTGTGTCGGGTGTGATTAGTATCCACTAAATATTCACATTTAGCAATTTTTTTTCTCTAGAAAATATTATACATAAGGTAAATTATTCTTATTGCAATTTGCTCAAATTGCACCCTTTTGTGGTAATGGTCTTTGGATATCTTTCTGTGCATAACATGCTAGTTTTCTGACTCATATTATGCATAGTAAGAGTCAATTAAATTCAATTTATTTTTATTTAGCGCCTTTCACAACAAGGTTTGAAGACCTGCATTCTGTGATCTAAGCAGGCGTCTTGGATGGTAAACATTAATAAGTTCCATTAGATAGACAGGTGCCTGACCTCTGAGAGCCTTGTAAGTAAGTAGAAGGATTTTGAAGTCCGCCCTGTACCTGACAGGAAGCCAATGAAGAGAG